CATAGCCATGTCCGACGTTCCTTTGGAAGTGAATTAGACCTTGTGGGAACACAAAAACATCACCCATTTCAAGTACTTTCGTCAAGAGACTGTTGTCAGGGTTAGATGTTACAAAACCAACCTCAAGTCTACCACTAATGACAACCAAGATTTCAGTGGCCCGAGGGTGCGTGTGAGGAGGGTTAATACCCTGTGGTGCAAAGTCGATACGAGCCATCGAAATTCCAAAAGTGTTGAGTCCTGGTAACTCTGCTACAGTCACGGCAGTCACGTTCGATCCAACCCCCATCGATGTATCTCCCATAGGATTGAGCCCACGAAAAAGGAAATCATCGGCTTTCACAAGATTTGGATCTTTACACTCCACACCATTCACGAGTACTGTGAAACAAAATTAGGAAACTCGTAAGCCCAAAAAAGTACTACTGAATATTTTCAAAATTTTAATATTAGAGCAGTTCTCTGCATTTCATAATTATTTTTACCTCGGCCACTTGGATCAGCAACACAAAAGTCCTGGAGGGGACTTGGGTCTGAAGCCAAAGCAAGCGAACAACTCGCCACGAAGACAAGACCGATTAAAAGCAATCGAGATGCCATTGTTGAGATTGAGAAGTGGAAACTTGTTTTTTGATGAACTTTGATGGCTCAAGAAATCTGTGTGATTAAAATACGCAGCCTGACAATGTTTGGTATGACTCCTACAACCGTTCTAATATGATACTTAATATAAATTATAAGTTTATATGACCAAAAACTATAAGTTTTACAATAAATTGTCTCGACAAAGTTGAGCAAGGCTGGTCTCACATGAACCCAACCCGTCATACCAAACCTATTTTTCATTCTATTCCTTAACTTTTAATCATTTCATTTTAATAAAAGTGAATAAATTTTTTACTAGTTTTGAGCGATCTCGCATAAGTTCCTCATCTCTATCGAGTTTAAATACCTCTCGTATCCGTCATATATAGGTTTTTGACACCCCATCTCATGCATAAGAATCGTAACAGTTCAAACATATTTCGAATTATACGTCGGTTCAAAATAACGAACTCTTTGAATCAATGAATAAGAAAAAAAATGTTAACGGAATCGAACACACAAAATACTAACAAATTTTTTTATCACATGAAACAACGACATAAGTAAAATCAAATAAAATTTAAATTCAAGATATTTTGCGAGTCTAGAATTTTGATTGAATTTGATAGACCACGTTTTTTTTTGTTTGAAAAGCGTTTGCCAACAAATCACGAGGCGATATCAGGGTTTGTTCCGAAAACAACATTTGCGATGGTAATCACACCGGGGTTTTGGCTGCTAAGACCTACAATAGCTACGACATTGCAGTTGCCAACGTTTTGCTGGAAGTGAACAAGACCTTCTGGAAACACGAAAACGTCGCCTTTATTCAATACTTTTGAGATGAGACAGTTTTCAAGGTTTGACGTCACAAATCCAACTTGGATGGTGACGCAAAAATCTTGGAGCGGGCCATGGTCAGAAGCCGAAGCAAGAGAACAAGTTACGACAAAGAGACCTAATAAAAGCATACGAGAAGCCATCGTTGATGAATGTGGGTCTTTTATCGAGATACGAAAGATGATTAAACCACAAAATTGTGTTGTGAAAGACGGATTCGTTTGGATTGATTTTATAGCGAACCGAAAAACCGAAAACCCGAATTAGTGCCGTCCATTGACCAACAGAAAACATAGGATACGATGTTTTCAAGATCAAGCAAACGTGTGGACCGAGTAGACAATGCCGACTAATTCRAAATCAATACCAATTTATAGAATACTAAAGATCGTAGATTTAGTTCATTCTTGATTGAGATGCACCCGAAGCATCGCCTGGGTCGAATTCGAGCCCGGCACGAAAAACCCGGTCCAGGCCAAGCCTCGAACCCCAATTAGGCCGGAATTTTGGGGCAGGTTTGGGCCTAGCAAGGCCCGAMCCCAACAAGCATGGTTGAGAAAAGTCTAAAAAGCCCTACCTAAAAAGCTCGATTGGACCAATATTCAGCCACAAAGTCCAGTCCTTGCCGAAAAAGCTAGATTTTTTTTCGCTTACYGAAAACGGGTTTGTAAGATATAAACGCTATTTATGAATTTGGACAAAGTAGAGAGTTGGYGGGTCAACCCGACCTCAACTAACCAACCCGTTTTGACCGATTATTCATTTTATCTCATGACCCGATGATGGTCATGACCACATTTATTTTAGTTTTTGTTAGAAACCTTATATTTTAAAATCCATTTAATTATTTAAATGTAAAAGCCTAGAATTTGATTTAAGAGTTTAATACATGAAATCCTTTTGTCCGCTAAAAATCAAACAGGTTATAAACGCTTATCATCAATCCATTTTGATGATCAGTAGGGTTACTTCATAAGGTAAGTGAAAGTGGTGGTTTTTACTGATAAGCACTTACCGAGTAATCGTTTGGTAAACGACTCTTATACTTATGCATGGGTTATTYTTAAAGGTGTAAGCTTTCGGTTTTTGTCTTATTTCCATGGTATAAGAGTAAACGGGGACGAGACCAATATGGCAAACAATATTAAGTCCTTGTTCGTAGATGAATGCTTCATTAATAATTAGGGTTTTGTGTTTGTATCTTTAGATAATCTGCAATAATTAAACAATGCAAATGTAAAGGACCGTTAAAATAATATATTACTTTTATTCACTTTTTAATATAACAAGACGAAGATGAAACAAACACATATCAAGAAGCTGGAAATTGTAAGTTAATGAAATTAACAATCAAAGATGACATAGAAGTCTAGAATTTTGATTGAATTTGATAAACGACCTTCTTGTCCACTTGGAATGCCTTTGCAAGAATATCTGCGTTGATATCTGGGTTTGATCCAAACACAGCATTTGCAATTGTAATGACACCGGGGTT